CTTGGCACATAGATATGATGTTGGAGATTGCATGACAGAATCTTGAAAGACTAAGGACTTATTTCCTGCAAATACTAGTTTTCAGCACCATAAATACAACTACAGAAGTGGACCACACCAGATGGAATACACAGGGATCAAATCGACCACATCTGTGGAAAGTGCCAATGAAGAAGCTCAGTATCATCAGTCAGTGCAAGGCCAGGGTCTGACTGTAGAACAGACCATCACTTGTTTATATGCAAGTTCAAGTTGAAATTTGAGAAAATCAAAACAAGTCTACTAGAGCCACAGTGTGATGATGACTATATCCCACCCAAATTTAAAGACCATCTCAAGAATAGTTTTGAGGCACTGAATAATAATGAATGAAGACCAGAAGTTATGGGATGTCATTAAAGATATCATACATGAAGATATCATATCTTTCATTTCAAAGACAGGAAAAAAAGAAAAGACTGAAATGAATGACAAAAGAGAATCTGAAACATGAATATGTTGGGCATTTCTCAAGCTGGAAGAAGTGAAGGAAAAATTGGAGCCTTGATTTGCAATACTGAAGGATTCTATGGCAAAATATTGAACAATGCAGGAAGCATCAAAAGAGGATGGAAGGAATGGGTAGAATCACTGTTCCAAAAAGAATTGAGCAATCTTCAACCACTTTGGAGGTAGCATATGATAAAGAATGGATGGTATTGAAAGAATAAGTCAAAACTGCTCTGAAGGCATTGGCAAAAAACAAGCTTCCAGGAATTGCTGGTATACCAATTGAGATGTTGCAACAAATGGATGCAATGCTGAAAGCATTTACTTTTTATGGCAAGAAATTTGGAAAACTGCTACCTGGTCAACCAACTAGAAAAGATGCATTATTTGTGCTCATTCTAAAGAAAGGGGATCCAACAGTATGCAGAAATTATTGAACAATATCATTAATATCATATGCAAGTAAAATTTTGATGAAGATAATTAAAAAATGGTTGCAGTAGTACATCAACAGGGAAATGCCAGAAATTCAAGTCAGATTCAGAAGAGGAGGTGGAGTGAGGGACATGACTGTTGATGTCAGACGGATATTGGCTAAAAGCAGAGAATATTAGAGAAATGTTTCCTGTGTTTTATTGAATATGCAATGGAATTTGCATGGTTCAAAACAAATTATGGAAGA